TTTGGGAGAATTTGGGGGTGAGTATGGTCAAGACTGGTTACATGAAATGTTCGGAGAATATAAGCATCTTTTAATTAAGCAGTCACAGACCCTTTTAGGACACAGAAAGCTATGACTGCCTGTCTCTTTCCCAAACTCTACCTACAGGTGAAATAATTTTCATATTTTTATGGTGTTCATTCCCCTGGGTTAATTAGGACACTTTATGGACCTGGATTAAAGATTACAGTCAATTCTTTTAAACCTTATTTTTAATGCCACAGTTTATAAGAAACTAGTGTTTATTGACATGTAGAAAAAGCTCAAATGGAGACAATCAAGTCTTCCCACTGCATAGTTGTCTTGTAGACCTCCGTAATTCATGCACGTGTCTTGAGCTGAGTAGACACGTCAGGATGAGGCATTTATGATGCTGGGGTCCTCTCTGGAACTGCCCCAAACAAGGCTCCTCTCTTTCTCTGGGCTTGTTTGGCACTCTCTTTCTCAGTGCTTTACTCGACGGTCCTCCTAGCTTGCAGGTAAAAGATCCAATAATGGCTTATCAGGCTTTAGGGTTTAGACTCATAATCCACAATCTGTTGATGAAATGGATTCTCTAACCCCAGAAGACTTATAGGATACTTTTTACTTATATTTCTAAAATACAGGGAATATATATACACACACTTATGTAAATGAGCATTAAAAATTCTGTATTGAGCCAGGTGTGATGGTGCACACCCTTAATCCCAGCACTTGGGAGGCAGAGGCAGGTAGATCTCTGTGAGTTCAAGGCCAGCCTGGTCTGCAGAGTGGGTTCCAGGACAGCCAAAGCTATATAATAGAGAAACCCTGTCTCAAAATTTAAAAAAAAAAAAAGTATTGATTTACTTCACATAAATTGCTTTTAGTTTTTGCATTCCTTAATCTTATAAATTCAGCAGCAGAAAGTGGAAAATAGGAATTTTCAGTGTTTTAAAGCAAAATTTTGGTATTCTGAATGTTTTAAAAGTATATTAAATTGTGTCTCTGGAAGTGTCTGGCTTTGGCGTCTCCAGCTTAAGTGCATGCCAGGCCTAATGGCACACTGCAGACCCATGGGATTAAGGAGTCATCTTGTTTTTAGACCCCAGATCCAGCTGTTGAAACAATGACATCACAGTGTAATGACACAACTGGAAATTCTAAAGTTAAACTTTAAAGTGTCAAACTACATTTAATATAGGCAGAAAATTTATATTGCTATAATGGTGATTTATTAAGATGTTCTGTTCTTTCTGGTTTTTTCTCTCTGTGACAGCTGTAACTGGGTGTGACTGTGTTAGCCTTTGTCTGTTAACAGTAATTAAGTGGTACTTTTTAAAAATATCCCCTGTCTAAAAAAATTTCTTTTAAAGTTCTAAAGCTGCAACTATTTAAAAACTTTCATGAACTCAAAAGAAAATCTTCCTAAAATGTATATTAGCAAAGAGCATTATATAAAATGGTACATTTTGTTGGTATAATTTTTATTTAAAATGGTGGTGTACCTATTTGGAGGCCTTCCAGAGTACTTTTCTTTTCACACAAGGTCTCATATAGTCAGGCTGAATTCCAACCCCACTGCTTCCCCGTGCAGGTGGAATGTTTCCTCGATTACAGGTTCAGCAGCGTATCTGGCTTGTGCAGTGCTGGAGATCAAACCCAAGGCTGTGTGTGTGCTAGACAAGCACTGTGCCAAACTGAGCTACCTCCCAGCCCTCTCTTTTGTCCTCTTACCAGTTCCCAGCTAACATGTCTGTCAACCTCCCTAAAGAACACTGCCCTTTGTAGCCCTCCCCACGGGGCTGCTGCCTGTCGGGATGGCTACTGTTCAGAACCTAGGATTAGGAGCCTTGTCTGAGGGCCACTTGTGTTGCAGTCGTATATATAACACTTCAGATGACCCTGCTCAGTACTCACCAAGCCCTTTGAGGCCATCTTACAGGTGAGAACTGGAGTCCAAAAGTTGGGACTATCTTGTAGTGCCTGGTACACAGAAAATGCTCACTTGGTGTTTGTGGGAGGCGAGGGGGAAGGGGGAGGGAAGGAGGCAAAGAGTGAGGGGAGGGTCCTGCACTCCATTGTTCATTATCCTTCCTTCCCTTTACTCCTTCCTGCACAGAAACCTTACGGGGACAGTCAGTGTTGGTTCATTCCTATGCAGACCACACTGGGTCCTTAACCATGACCTGTCCTAAAGGGACTAGTTAGGCTTCCTGAGATGGGCAAGACCAGTGACCTGAGTTTGATCCCCCAAATCCACATAAAGGTGAAGGGAGAGAACCAACTCCACAGAGTTTTTCTCTGACCTTCACACGTATGCTGTGGCATGCACATGCGCCACACATATCATATACATATGCACACATACAATAATCGTTTCAGAAAAGAAAGGAGCTAGTGCCTGGAGCTTCATCTTGTTCCTCTCCTTAGTTCTCACTGCCACTACACAGCACTGATATGAAATTACCTCCACTTGCCTTTGAAAACCCTGGTCTTTATTATAATTAAGACAGTGAGTTGGAAACCAACTTACCTAATTTGAACTAGACAAATTACACTAGACTTTGACAGTCTTCCTGAATACTTGCCTTTTATTTTCTCTTCATTCACATTTCTTAGCACTTCCTACATTTCCCTGCTATGTTATCATTTCATTTTACCCCTCTAAGTGATTGTAATCCCATTACACTAATCTGTGGGTGACTGCTCACTCTGTCTTTAAACCTGCTTTACAGTCTTTGAAAGCTTTGATTCTGGTTGCCTGTTGGAAAGTCCATTCACACATCTTGTAGGCGTCTATATTGGTCAAGGGGATAATGAGTCCGAGTATCTTTGATCTCTGTGAAGCTCTATAGGCTTCTCATTACTGTCTGCCCAGTCCACCAGACCTGTCATTTGAGTACCACACTTAATGCTTCATAAGTTCCGGGCTCCCTCCAAAGTTTCTTGACTCTGTGATCATTGCTAAGACCCTCTGCTTGTTTTTATATTTATTTTTTCTGAAATGCACTTGTTTGTGCTATTATTTTCTTTGAAATCTTTTGAGTTCTCCATTTTTTTCTTAAGCAGCGTCTGGCTCTCCTTCGTTAGCATTTCATAGCTCACCATTCTTTCAGTCCAGTCTATTTGATACCAGAACACACAGTGTCCCTTGTACACAAACCTAAATCTGTTTTTTCTTTTCTTCTCCTTTTCTATATTGCCTTCCCGACATCTTTGTTGTTTTTTTTTTTTTCCCAACAACTTTTAAGTCCCAGCTCAGCTGCTACTTCCATGTGATTTTAACTCTGTACCCCTATCTGCACTATGTTAGGAGCTTCTTGAGAATGGGAGTTATCTTTTCATCCTTGTTTCTGCTCTGTGCTGTCTTAGCTCCAGATGTACAACAGGTTCATACAGCTGCTTAGGCCTCATACAGCTTTGAAAAGCACAGTTTAACATCGGTCCTGGTCATCTGTTAGATAAGAAATGGGAGAAAGGTTCTTACAAAATTTTGAGTTGGTATTTAAGTATAAGGCAGCACCTGCAGGAAATTACGTAACTTTTTGTGTCACTTGCACATAATAAAAAGGTCATTATTGAACAAGTTAATATGTGATTTTCTGCATTTAGATAAGAACAAGGTGCATATAGAAAGCAGTTTTGTTCAATTAGATAACAAAACTGGCATCAATGTAGTGTGGGATGAGAGCTAAGTAACTCAAGGAATGGAGCTACTTGGGGAAGTAAGGTTGAATGAAGTGTCTGGGTGGAGCAGCTCTTAGCCATGCTCCAGTCAGTCCTGTGCTAATTTCTAACTTTATTACGAATTAAGCTGCACTGTTGGATGGTTTTCTTGGTTATTTTGTGTACTCTGAATCATAGCTTTGTAAAACATTAGTGTGTTTAATGTTTCTTCATTTTGATTTTTAGCCTGTCCCTACAGCTCTAATACTGCTTGCTATCAATGGAGGAGAATGTTTTTTTCCATACTTAATTAAATGTGAAGAGAAGGGAAAAAATCCCCAGTACAGAATAAATGCTTTCCAAGTCAAATGTCAATACTAGTTGAATGCCCACTCCAGTGTTCCTTATTAGCAGTGTTATAGAAATGTGTTAACTAATAGGATAGTGCTGCTAGGCGCGCATCAGTGAGCAATTGGTAACAGTGTATCGTGAGCCGAGTCCATTTAGGAGAAGTAAGTGAAAAGCTTTAAGAAGTTGGGCTTTGATTTGGGTGTTTTCATTTCATTTTTAAACAGGCTCCTTCAGTTTGCCATCCTCTCCCTTCAGCTTTCTCAGTGCTAGGGTTGTAGGCCAGTGCCAGGACACCTGGCCTCAGACACCTCTTCCTTCCCTCATTGCTTCCATTTAAAAGTCATTCTGCTATTAATAGTACACTCCCACTGCGGAGCCATTGAAGCGGCTTCTGTCGCTAATGCAGCAGTAGTGACAACAGGGTCTTTATGAAAATAACGGCTGCCTTTGAGCACTCATTGAAGCGACGCCAGCAGTGCTGAGCCCTGTTGTTGAGGCTATTCTTCCATGCACTGTAAAAGGTGAGGTGTGCTCTTCTATAACATGAAAACACAGAGTGAGGCTCTTTCTCTAGCAGTCTGACTTAACATCTGTACTACAATCTTTTATTAACTTTTTGGACAGTTTCATACATATATTTGTGACAATACTCCCATCACCCCAGTATCTCCCTTGCATTCCTGATGACCCCTTTTTTTAATTCTCAGCTCACCCTCTCTATTTAAACTCAGTGGGGGAAAAGTCCCAATCTAATGTGCCGCAATTGTTAGTGCCTTTTTCTTTTGTAAAATGTTGCCTCTAAGAGATCCATGGTAAAGGGGAAAGCGTGTTTTATCTCTGATGAATTCCAAGCCACTTGAGTAAAGACATTTCCTTCTGTGCAGTCCTTATTTTTGCTGTCTCCCCTCTATTTAGAAAGAGGAAAGCATTGTGTGGTCAGGCTGTTTTGGCGTTGCTGAATGTCTTTCTCCTTTGTGCAGGTGACAAGGCAAACCCACCCTTCACTGCGCGTGTGTCGCCCGCCACACGGGTGTCTGTGACTCTGCCCTCTGTGGACCTTGAGGACTGCTCTCAGTCCCAGAGCACCAGCACCATGCATGGCAGCACGGAGTCCTCCGGGACAGACACATTCTGAACGGGGGAGCCAGCACAGTGCATCTGAAGACCTGTCACTCTCGCTGCAGACCGCCTCAATTACTGTTGACCTGTGAGCGTATTTTCAGGGGAAAACATCTCTAATATTTCATTAAGATGAAAGTGCTTGACTGTTTAGAAAGGCTTTTGAATAAAATAAGTGTAACTCATACTGAGACCGGCTGTGAGTTGTTTTTTAGGAACCTGGGATAGCAGGGAACAGTGAGAAGGACATAGCTTAGAGTCTGAGAATTTATCTGACAGGTGTAATTGTGAACTTACAAAGTTCAGGGTTATTCATTCTAACATTCTTATAACAACAGTAATTCAAAGTAGTCTGTCCACAGGGACTAGATGAAGTAATGGCACATTTGTATACTGTACTATATAGTTGAAAAAGAATTTTAAAATATGTATGCATTGATACAGAATTCCTCTCAGGAGGCGAAACCTACCTTTTAAAAAAACACAGTCTTTAACTTATTGTCCTTGTGATGTACGTACATGTTTCTTTAAACAATGGTGTCTGGTCCTGTGCAGGTTTACTCATACTCATTCCCCTGCCAACCACCTCACATCCATTTGAAATAAGAAAAAAACTGCTAATTTTTGTCTCCAGGGCAAGGAACTGATAGTTAGGTGTACTTTACTTCATTCATGCCCGGAAAGTGATGCTGAGCACAGCTGATTGCACACGTGCCTTCTATATGCTCTATAACCGTCATACCTTTCAAACCTGTGAAACATGTTGCTTATGGTACTGTCTGTCAAAACATCAGTACACAAATAAAAGAAAGTGAAAAGGCTTTGTGATTAGGGTTAATTTCATTTCCCATACACACTGGCTCTGTGATGGGTAAATGAGACCCTTCTTGGCATCTGCCTTGAGTTAATGCATTTAATAATTATTTTTGAAGAAAAATGGAGATTAGTGATAATATTTCAGGGTGCTAAGCGTTGGGGGCCGGGTGATGTAGGCATTGCCCGGCACAGGACTTGGTACCAGGTTAGTGTGAGGTAAATGGTATCCGTCTTACCTGGAAGGATTTCAGCATCAGACATGATGGTAAACACATTAGAAGAACATCCTAACGTTAGCAAAAACTTCTATCTGCCTAACACCTGTATCGCGCCTCCTCCTCCTCCAAAGGCTCGACTCATCACAGATGGTGGAAAGACGGTGGAAAGACTGTAAAAGCCAGAGGCAGAGGACGACTGCAGCAAAATGGGGCTGTCCAGATACAACAAGGCACTGGCAAGTGTGAGTTCACAGCGGGTGTGGCCACTGCATGCACAAAACGTGTGCTAGGTCAAGCCAAACAAACTCTCCCCCCCCCCCACACACACACACGGCAGCATTGAGTGGACACAGTGGGTTTAAAACAACAAAAACCACATGAACGTGGGAGAGACTGGTTGGTGGGGGGAAGGAATTGGAGGTAGAATGGGGGTGGACTTTCAAAATACATTTGTGTGCATTTATTAAATTCCCCTATGTTTACCTCCCTAAAACATTCTTTTGTCGCCACTGAAGTTTACAGACATAGTAATTAGAGCCACCGTCCACCTTCCTGAGCATTTTTAAAGGTTACTTAGTAGGTCTCGGGCCCGCTGCACAGTAGAACCTGAGGAGGCTTAAAAAGTACTAAAGCCTGGACTACATGCCGGGGATTCTGGCTTAATTGACCTTGGGTGAGGTCCAGGCAACGGTATTAAAAGTGAAAAAAGATCTTTTTAGGCGACTTCAGTGTACACTCCAGGTTGAGAATTACCGAAGAGCAATTTAGAATTCCTTTTACCTCTAGAAGGGCCCAGGGTTTGGGGATTTCTTCTCGCTGAAGTTAGGGTGGAAAAAAAAAAAAAAAGTGCAAAAAAAAGCATGTGAGCCTTCCACAAGCATTTCCTCTTAAGTCACAGCTCTTCAAACTTTTCTTCGGTATTTGGTTACTGAACGGTTTGGGTTTCATGTGAGGACCTATTTTCTTTGCTGGGGCCACTTAGAGTTTCTGCTTAAAATAGATTTGTTCAAACTGGGGGAAGGAAACGTGCTGCTTTGTGGATCTTGGTTTGTTTTTGGAGCTCACGGACAAATCTGGATAGAGGGAAAGAGGGGCAGACCACCTGAGTGTTGCTTTGTTTAAACAGAGATGTCTGCTTTTCTAAACCTTCTTCTACTTACAAAGGATTTTAGCAAAAAATATTACAGCTCGAAACTTTTTTTTTTTTTAATTTAGAAGTGTTGGTAGTTTCCCCCAGGCCTGATCATAGGAAAACCTACATTTTCTAAATTTAGAGTGAAAACAGTCTTTAGCTTTTGGTTCTTGTGATGTACTTGAGCATTTCTATTAAAAAAAAAAAAAAAAAAAAAAAAAAAAAAAAAAAAAAAAACATGGCATCTGCTCACCACTGGTATGTTGTAAGTACTAGTTCCTGTCTGTGCCTACTCACACCTTCCTCCGCCAGCCTCAGCCAATCCTTTTGGAATAACACTCATTCGTTGCTACCAGTCCAAAGAGGCCTGCAAGCAGCAGGAAAGGACAGCCCCCTGCATGCAAGCAGTTTTCAAGATTCTTCTTGTGTCACACTTCACACACACACACACACACACACACACACACACACACACACACACAATTTGTTCTTTGGCAGTTTATATGCATAAGCTGTGTCTTGATCATATTTCACATCCAACCCCCTGCTCACCCCAGGAACTCCCTTCAATCGCCCTCCAGCCCTCATGAAACCCCCCCCCCCCCCATTATCCACTGAATCCAAGTAGAATCGCCCAGACATTTCACAACGGTTTTCTCTATCCTCTCACTCTGACTTTTTTTTTTGCACCCCCTCTTCTGCAGCGCTCAGTAAACAGGGCCAAGCACTCAGTACTTAACTTACTGTCAGCTCTTTGACCAGTTAGGAGCCTCCAGGCTAACTGCTGCCCACTGCAGAAGAAGCTTCCCTAACTGAGGCCGGAAGCAGCACTGCTCCATGGGCGTACACGTATTTAGAAGACAGTTATTTGCCAAAACAACAGCAGTGAAGCTCCCCCTTTGCCCGCCCACTCGGGGCCAAGGACCTCCCAGGCTGTGGCCTTTTCGCCAGGTTTATAGTGCTGAGTATACGGAAAGTGTTTGCTTACCTCCGTAACCTTCACGCCACTATTTTTGCGAGTAGTCACATCTTGCCTGAAGTTAGTATTACATTATTCAGAACTCACTGCCAGGTAATAATACTAATGACTTTTTTTTTTTTTAATAGCACCTAGCCAGCCAGCAGAGAGGAAGTTTTTAGGTCCGTTTCAGCTTTATTTCTCTACGTCCTGAAACCAAAATGTATTGTTTTTTTTCTGCGATAGGGTCTTAGTATCAAGTGCTGATGGGCAACCAAGAGCAGTGACAGCATTTTGTGCTGTTTGGTGGGGGCCAGTAATCCATAGGAAGATGTCCCATACCTCGCACTGGGATTTCATTCATTAACTCATCCTCTCGGGGAAGCATTCTCCATCCATGTAGTGTACCTGTGTTTGATTTCCTTTTTAAAAAAAAGAATTTTTAAATTAATTTACAAAGTCAAGGGTTTCCATAAGGAAGAAAAAAATACATAATTTGTTTTCATGAACCCAGCATCCCTCTTCTCCCTTACCCCCGTCCCCTTAAACCTTTAACTCCCAGTGTCCTGCCTGTGTTTCATGTCACATGTTTATACTGTCCCTCAATCTGAGTCATGCTCTTAACGCCATTTTTGTCCAAAGCATCTATGTATTTAAGCATGCACTCGAAGAGTAGGGAGTTAGACTCCTTTCATGTTGTCATATGCGAGGGAGCATGCAGAGGGAATGGAAAGAATGTGTGGTCATTTTGGCAGTTTAACAGGCTGGTTTCCAGTGGGCCTAGCACTGAGCTGAAAGTTGCAGAAAGGTTCAGATGAAATGTCTTCGAAAGGTGTCTCTGAGAGATTGGGCATAAAACATCCCATTGTATTAGATTTTTGACAGTAGATAGATGTGACAAAGTACAGTTGTTAATGGCATTATTCCTAACACAGGGTATTTTATAAATGATGTTCCAAGGGGAAATCTGTGAACTATGGGGAGGTGATTCTGTAGCTATTAACATCAATGGCACCACATTGGACCTTGGCTAGATTAGAACTCAAGGCAGCAAACTTTCTCAGTGATGATCCAGATAGCCAATTGTCTGAGCTATGCAGGGCACACACGGTTTCTTACATTCCGCATTCCTTTTTCTACAGAGTTCTAAAATATTTAAGAAGTACTTTATAGCTTCTGAAGCTTCTGAAAACCAAGGCCATACTTGGCCCAGCTTGCCAGCATATGGTTGGTTGAATAGCTTTAGTTTCTGTTACCAGCACCAATTGGGGTGTGTCTGTTTGTGTATGTGTTATAATAGTAGAAATTGAACCCAGTGCCTCATGCATGCTTGATAATTGCATTACCACTGAACTGTGTTCCAGCTTCTCATTTGTTCTCCTCTACTTTCCCTAAATGGAGAGTAAGACTTTCTCCCCTAGGAGTAAAGTTCTACAGAGTTCCCATGTAGTTGTTGGGTTAGAGTGGTCTCGTCAGGCATTGGATAAGGCATTAGGGGTTGCCTCTGTTGGGAATGTAAAAGTCCTTCTTGGTCATCTGTAGTATTTCATCAGGGAGTAGAGTCCCTCTATCTTAACACCTTACAGAACAGTGATGTATATTGTGAGCTGGTTTTTACCACTGCTTTTGTGGGGTGAGTTCTGAAAGGACTTTGAGTTGTCAGTGCATTTAGGGCCTTGGACATAATGGAAGCTTGTCTTCTGGAGGATTAGGTAGTTCCCACAGAAAGATTGTGAACGCAATTGTGTACTTTCAAATTTTGCAATTATGTAATTATAAAATCTTTTGTACAAAGAACAAAATTTGGTGCAGCTGTAATCTGTCGTACTAATACTTGGTCTCTTTTGGCAATTTCTAAATTTATGTGTTTGTTTTATGTCTGTGGGTGTTTTGCCTGCATGAACGCCTGTGCACCTCATAAAAACTAACCAGGACAGAAACTGAGACAAGTATGAGGGCGATCCTGTAATTCCTTAAGCCCTATCATTTTTGCACACAGCATAAACAAACAGCAATTCTCCTCAGCTTTGCTGGCTACCAAAGAAGGTTTTCATAATCTTG